TACAGGGATTAAGACAAATCAGGAAATTCCTGAGGCTGTTCATCACTATAGCAGAAAGAGTCAGAGACCATGCCATCTCCACCTGGAGAATCTCCAAATGGATCTCTGCCTGCATTCTACTTTGTCAGCTTCCCCCACCTCCCCAATGGTATAAGAGCTCATTCCATCAGAGTGCAAGCAACAACTACGTCATCTCTTCAGAAAATACTCCTCCTGAACATCTGTAAAGCACCCATGTGGAGCTCCATTCACAAATTTACAAGACATTATGTCCTGGTGCAGGACTCTTCTACTGATGCCTCATTTGGGATGGTGGTACTCTGTTCAGCCTTATTGTCTACATCCTTGCATCATCTTCCTCCTTAGATAGCCTTGTCAATCAGCCACAGTGGAATACAATAGGGACCATCACTTGAAAAGTTTACTTACCTGTAACTGGAGGTTCTTTGAGATTAGTGGTTCCTATCTGTTTTGCGTTACCAGCCCTTCTCCTCCTCTGCTTCGGATTTTATCTGACTCGTGGTAGAGAAGGATCTAGAAAGAGCCAGTCCACCTCTCCATTTATTCTGTCAGTCAGAGGCATGAGGTGAGCCAGGGCACATGCGCAGACTATGTTCAAATTCTCCATCTCCGGGTGCATGATACACATACTATGGCAAGCCATCTCCTTCGTCTCGACAGACTTAGCACTTCCCCCTCTGGTGATGGCAGGTCTGGGGTAATCTGCCCCACTCAGGGCAGGGTTTGCCTTCCCCCTTCTGTGCTCTCTTGGTCATATTTTCAGGGTAGGCCTCAGGGTCAAACAAAAAGGAAACAGTCTTGTAAACAAAAAAACCCAAGGGGATACCTTTCGTTGCCTCCTTGCTGGTGCAGGGTGTTGTCCTCTTGGTTGCCCTGGGATGTCAGTCCTTCCCCTAGCAGGCAATCAGGTCTGGCTGTTTCCCCTATGGCAAGGAGCACAGCCTCTCACCCTGGAGCAGCTTATTTCTCTGCTGCCACTAGCCTGGCAGCAGCTTGTCTGTCTGTCTCTCTTTTCCCCCTTTCTCTCAGCAGAGGAGGGGTTTTAAAAGGCCTCAGGCAGCCCTTAATTGGACTCAGGTTTCCCTAAGTGACCTGAGGTAACCTTGTCTCTGCTGGTAGGGAGGAGGACCTTTAAAGTTCTAGGGCTAACACATCTGCCTTCCAGCAGACATCTGGCCTAACTTTGTCACAATACGTAACCCCACAGTGGACTACAGATAAGGACCATACATCTTGACTATCCTCCAGTTGCAAGTAATCTCCTCTATCATTCGGGAGTGTATTAGCAGGAGTGTTGTCTGTAAGATGTGGAAGGTAATTGTCCTGCTCTGCTTGGCACTGGTGGGGCCTCAGCTGAAGTACTGTATTCAATTCTGGGAGCCACAGTTTAGGAAAGATGTGGACAAAATAGAAAGAGTCCAGAGGAGAGCTACTAAAATTATGAAAGATTTAGAAAACCTGACCTATGAGGGAAAGGTTTAAAAAAAACTGGGCATGTTCAGTCTCGAGAAAAGAAGAATGAGAAAGAACCTGATAAGTCTTCAAATGTGTTAAGCGCTTTTATAAAGAGGATGATGAGCAATTGTTCTCCATGTCCACTGAAGTAGGACAGGAAGCAATGGCCATGGCCTGCAGCAAAGGAGATTCAAGTTAGATATTAGAAAAAAAATAATTCTCCAAGAATAGTTTAAGCATTGGAATAGGCTTCGCAGGAGGTTGGCTTAGAAACTTCCAGTTCCACAAACACCTGTCAGGGATGGTCTAGGTATATCTGGTCATGCCTCAGCACAGGGGGCTGGGCTTGATGACTTCTTGAGGTCCCCTACAGCCCTATGTTTCTATGAATTTGTGAATTTTCAACAATAGAATTAAACTTTTGTGCTATACAGTAACTCCTCACTAAAGGTCATCCCGGTTAACGTTGTTTTGTTGTTACATTGCTGATCAATTGGGGAACGTGCTCGTTTAAAGTTGTGCAATGCTCCCGTCTAACGTCATTTGGCAGCCGCTTGCTTTGTCCACTGCTTGCAGGAAGAGCAGCCTGTTGCAGCTAGCTGGTGGGGGCTTGGAACCAGGGTGGACTGGCAGCCACCCTATCAGCTCCCCGCTCCCCTTAGTTCCCTGTGCTGCAGCCACCCAGCAGGCTAGCAATTGCAGCTATACCCCCCCCCCACTGCCATGTGCTGCTCCTGCCCTCTGCCTTGGAGCTGCTCCCTGAGCCGTGCAGGGGGGCAAAGGGAGGGGGGCTAATGTCAGGGTGCCCCCTCCCCCCTGCTCCTACACCCCACTTACCCCTTCTTCTCCATATAGAGCAGGGTGGGGACACAGACAGAGAGCCTGGGGCAGCAGCTGCTGTCTCAACTTCCTGATCCACTTAAAAAGAATGCACTTAAGAGTGGGTCAGCTTACTTAAAGGGGCAGTGTGCATCTCTCTCTCTCCCACACAAAAGGTGTGTGTCCGTCTCTGTCTGCGATGCTATCTCCCCTCCCCTCCATTCCTGCTGCCTTGTAGAGTGAGAGGCTACATTAACAACGTGTTAACCCTTGAGGGCTCAGCCGAGTGCTAGTTCATCATTTAGCACGGGTTCTCAAACTGGGGGTCGGGACCCCTCAGGGGATCATGAGGTTATTACATGAGGGGTTGGGAGCTGTCAGCCTCCACCCCAAACCCCGCTTTGCCTCCCGCATTTATAATGGTGTTAAATGTATAAAAAAGTATTTTTAATTTATATTGGGAAGTCGCACTCAGAGGCTTGCTATGTGAAAGGGGTGACCAGTACAAAAGTTTGAGAATCACTGATTTATCAGCAAGGCATTCCCTAGGAAATATCCTACCCTCTTCCACCCTCTAACTTCACCACCTCAACAAAGCTTCGCAATCATCATAGCTGTGAGCAGTATTAAATTGTTTGTTTAAAACGTATACTGTGTGTATATCTATATAATATATAGTCAAGTATCAGAGGGGTAGCCGTGTTAGTCTGAATCTGTAAAAAGCAACAGAGGGTCCTGTGGCACCTTTAAGAATAACAGAAGTATTGGAGCATAAGCTTTCGTGGGTGAATGCCCACTTCATCAGACGCAAGTAATGGAAGTGGGCACTCATCCATGAAAGCTTATGCTCCAATACTTCTGTTATTCTTAAAGGTGCCACAGGACCCTCTGTTGCTATATAATATATAGTTTGTCTGGTGAAAAAAATTTCCCTGGAACCTAACCCCCCATTTACATTAATTCTTATGGGGAAATTGGATTCGCTTAAAGTTGCATTTTTCAGGAGCATAACTACAATGTTAAGTGAGGAGTTACTGTATTCGGGACTAAAAAGCGTGACACCGTTCAAAATGGAGAACATTTGAGAAGTGCTTTTTGATGCTATGTAAATAATAGGTGGTAGGTATTCTGTATTTGTGTATAGTAGAGCCTTTCTGGAGGAACTCCCTTCCCCAAGGAACTCAGTATAGTTTCACACCACTCTGTCTGACTATAATACTTTAGTTGTATTCCCTTATTGTTTGTAGTATCAGATGTTCCTCCTCCATCCCCTCAAAACAGGAAAATAAATTACAATCCCCCATGCAAACTGAGTTTATTACATACTAGCTTATGTCGGAGTTGAGGCAGTTCTAAATCTTTCCCAGGAGGAGTGTCACATGTGATTAACCTATTCTGCTCTTAGGCAGTCCTCCAAGTTGCTTCCCATTTCTATAGTCCCTAATTAGGATACCACAAATGCGAACTTTCTCTTTTAAATTATTGAAATGTATTAATCTTTCCCTGCTCAGGGAATCCTAGTTATTCTAGTTTGTTCAGTAATACATATTTGTTCGCTGTTGCTCATTCCCTCTTCACACATTCTTCTGTCCCTTGGGAAAATGCACCAAGGTGGGGCTGTTTTGGAGTGAGCAGAGGGAAAGCCTAGTAATGATCAGTGATAAAAACTAAATAGAACAATGTAAAAATGTTTGTTTGACTAACATACTCCTTAAAATGACCTTGATAGAACTGAAAAAGGTAGACTGTTTGGTTTTCGAATTAAACTGACCTAATTACCTAGCAAAATACTTCCTTCTATATACTTTCTTATATCATGTACAAAAAGTGAGAAAATATTGTGTGCAGATAGTTGTACAGAAGGCTGATGTTCCCTAATTTCTATTATCTAGAAATATGCTATATTTTGTTTGAAGAAAGCACTCATAATTGGGGCTTTGCCATAATAATCTGTAGTATCATAAACGTTTAATTCCGAAAAGCCATTAAAGTGATTTGCTTTAGTTGTGGGTACCATACTGAGAAAAGAAGGGTTTTATATCTTGTATTAATTATCTCCATACAACAAGCCAAAGTCTTCAGTCAGTCACAGCCTAGAAAATGAAACAATTTTTCATAAACACCAACATCCATGGCACTGCATCAAATCACATCCTTTGATTTCCACACAGGTCACTCTCTAACATTTATTTAATTTTATCCTCAGAGTCAGTTATTAAACTTCTCCACTTCGTCACTATATAACATCAATTCAAATGTCATGGAAACAGCAGTATAGTGTTTTCAAATCCTTACAGGGCATATTTTAAAAAAATGTAACTTGTTGAATCTTTTGTCTTGTTATCTAGTATGAATAATGTGCTCCTGGCATTTAAATGGATTTTGCAGTTGTCAAAAGTTGAATTTTGTGTTTTAACACCCATAAAAGTAATTTACTCCCTGGCATTTTCTACTCTACCCCTCCTGTAAGGTATTAATATATAATTTAATTGATTTTATTAATATCTCCTCAAGTCCTCCATTAATATAATTTATGTAGTTGGAGAACTGAAAACAAGAAAATCTCATAAGAGTAAATAAACATTAAAGCATTTATAGTGCAGTGATTGTCATTTTTGTGGGTCCTTTCAAAATAGTTGTATTTGATTAAACACTGCAAATCCACATACTTACATTAGTAATTTGTACTCTTTCCTTTTCTGTAGGCAATTGCATTACCTCCTATTGCTAAGTGGCCTTACCAAAATGGGTTTACTCTTAACACCTGGTTTCGTATGGATCCATTAAACAATATTAATGTAGATAAGGATAAGCCCTATCTCTATTGGTAAGTAACTCGTATATATTATTTTATTTTGGTCTCCTTATAAATAGTTAATTCTAAAATACAAATTAGTAGTCAAAGCTTTTTTTTTGCCAGCATTTCCAGATTTTAATAAATTTTACTTTGTTAGAAAGTTCTCTAAGGTTGTCTATGCTATTTATTTCTTAACAAGGTTTGAAATGCAACAGTGCAAGCAATATGCCTTTTAGATCAACCATAAAACAAAATGTACTGTGTTTTAAGAATTAATTTAAGAAATTATTTCCTGTCAGTACAATTTGGGGATGTGCCTTTGTAGTGTAATATTTTCTCATTAGAGACATTTAAGGCTCCACTGATCTTCATAGTTCTATGACCTTATGAGAGAAATTTGCTGTGCTCCCAGCGCTGCTTTTTATACATTTATTATAGGCTTCTTTAAGGTATTGATAATGGAATGATAAAGTCTCAAAAAGGAAAATGCCTGCTCCACCACCAAACAGGTCCCATTAAAAAGAAATGTAAGCAGTAGTTCCTAATAGTATGCTAACAATGAATGCCGAAAATGGAAGGAGACATCTTTACTCAGTTTCTCTATCTCTGCTATGAAGAAAATGATGACTCCTTTGTAAAGCACTATGGATTAATAGTACTATCTCAGAGATAAATGATGATGGTGGTTTTATTATAGCAGTTAGTATTTTAAATTTATTTGTATTCAGTTTAAACAGGTGCTTCATCTGGGTGGTGAAAACATGGGTTGTTTCATTTATAAGGAAGAGGAAATCAGTTTGGGTATTTGCTCAAACTAGGTAGCCTTAGTTGGAATGGGAAAAGATAGGAGACAGTAAATCTATGAATAGGAAAAATAGCCTCAGTGTTAGTGAAAGATCCACAGTGTTATCAAATTCTCTGCATTACTTAGTTCATTATCTTATACATTGTATCTTTCCATTTTACTTTCTGCTTCTACTCTTTTTAAATCACAAAAACTTCTTAAGTTATAGAACGTTCAGCAATGTACATATAATTTCACCAGGTATGCGGGTTCCCCCACCCCCATCTCGCCACACCCACCAAACAAACACAAACAAGAAGGCCACTCCTACACAGTATCTGAAAATAATGTATTTTTTATCGTTTTCCTTACTGATCAATGTATCAAATATTACTATATGTTTAAATCTTCTGCATATTTTGGATAACTATAAAAGGGAAGTTTTAAAGTTGTTTTTTATCTGTCTTGATTTTCCATAAGTTTATAAAATAGAAAAAATGTAACAATATTCAATAAATCGGGTACAGAAGAGGGCACATTAGACAAGTAACCATACACAACATTGATATTTATGTGGACATATCTAGTAAAACTACATATAGTCATTTGGGGCACAAAAACTTGTGGGAGTGCTCAAGTGAAGGAAGGATGACTAGTTCAAATAGAGTCCTTTTTGGGATGCAGAGTAGGATGGATGGGGAATAGCTTGATCTTGAGGAACAGATTAGGGCACTTTTCCCAATCACACTCTGGATGAGAAATTTCCTTTAATTCCCCAACCTCCCTTTCTTGTTCATCATTAGAAGCAGTTTAACATTGGGACTCATCACTTCTACTCAACTGAACTCTTTTTAAACTGTAAGCCATGGAGAGGGCTTGTCAACCTTTTACTTTCTTCCATCAGCCAGGGATAAACACACACATACAAAACACTAATAAATAGGAGCAGGGACACTTAACATGCTTAATGTATCCCTTTCAGATTCCACCCTTGCAAATAGAATGGACTTAAGTAGTCCGATTAGTCTGAGAATTAGTCTTTGCATCAGAATGGGAAGTAATTTATTCAGATAGGAACAGTCCCAAGGCTGTACAGTTGCAGACGAAGAAGTTGCGGGGTCTTCCTCCTCTGGACTGCCCCCTATTGATGATAGTGCGCAACAGGACCTGCTGCACAGGATTGTCCACAATATGGGGCTCCAGGCTAAGGAAGTGGTTGAGTCGGAGGACCCGATGGTTGATATTTTAGCTCCTGAAGGGCCATCCAGGGTAATACTGCCCCTTATAAAGAACGTTAAAGCCACCGCAAAATCTCTGTGGCAAACCCCTGCCTTCATCCCCCCGACAACCAAGGAGGGGCGAAGGAGAGGAAGTATTTTGTACCCTCTAAAGGATACGAGTACTTATTCTCTCACCAACAGCCCTACTGGTGGCGGTAAATGAGAGAGAGAGATTGGAGCAACAGGGCCTGACTCCCAAGCCAAAAGATTCCAAAAAGATGGATCTCTTTGTCTGGAAGGTCTACTTGACTAGAGGGCTCCAGCTGAGGATCGCTAACCAGCCAGCAACCCTCAGCAGATACAATTTTAATTCATGGGACTCCATGATGAAATGTAAGGAGCTTGTGCCTTCTGACTCTAAGGCACAGTTTGTGGTTATAGTGGAGGAGGACAAGGTGGTGGCACGGACCTCTTACAGGCCTCACTCGACGCTGCGGACTCAGCCGCATGGATCTTGTCCTCTGGCATAGCCATGAGGAGGAGGTTCCTGGTGTGGGGGTGCCCCCCCCCCCCCCCCCGCCCAAGTTAAACAAACTATTCAAGACCTGCCTTTTGATTCATAGATTCATAGATTCTAGGACTGGAAGGGACCTCGAGAGGTCATCGAGTCCAGTCCCCTGCCCGCATGGCAGGACCAAATACTGTCTAGACCATCCCTGATAGACATTTATCTAACCTACTCTTAAATATCTCCAGAGATGGAGATTCCACAACCTCCCTAGGCAATTTATTCCAGTGTTTAACCACCCTGACAGTTAGGAACTTTTTCCTAATGTCCAACCTAGACCTCCCTTGCTGCAGTTTAAGCCCATTGCTTCTTGTTCTATCCTCAGAGGCTAAGGTGAACAAGTTTTCTCCCTCCTCCTTATGACACCCTTTTAGATACCTGAAAACTGCTATCATGTCCCCTCTCAGTCTTCTCTTTTCCAAACTAAACAAACCCAATTCTTTCAGCCTTCCTTCATAGGTCATGTTCTCAAGACCTTTAACCATTCTTGTTGCTCTTCTCTGGACCCTTTCCAATTTCTCCACATCTTTCTTGAAATGCGGTGCCCAGAACTGGACACAATACTCCAGCTGAGGCCTAACCAGAGCAGAGTAGAGCGGAAGAATGACTTCTCGTGTCTTGCTCACAACACACCTGTTAATGCATCCCAGAATCACGTTTGCTTTTTTTGCAACAGCATCACACTGTTGACTCATATTTAGCTTGTGGTCCACTATAACCCCTAGATCCCTCTCTGCCGTACTCCTTCCTAGACAGTCTCTTCCCATTCTGTATGTGTGAAACTGATTTTTTCTTCCTAAGTGGAGCACTTTGCATTTGTCTTTGTTAAACTTCATCCTGTTTAACTCAGACCATTTCTCCAATTTGTCCAGATCATTTTGAATTATGACCCTGTCCTCCAAAGCAGTTGCAATCCCTCCCAGTTTGGTATCATCTGCAAACTTAATAATCGTACTTTCTATACCAATATCTAAGTTGTTAATGAAGATATTGAACAGAGCCGGTCCCAAAACAGACCCCTGCGGAACCCCACTCGTTATGCCAGTACTGGAGGCAGGGGTGGAGCACTGCCTGCTGCCAGAAGTAACCAGCTGCCAGTGTCCACCCTGAGCCATCTCCTCCTCCACCAGTGGTGTATCAGCAGTCCTGTGTCCTGGGACAGCTACCTCAGCTGTCTCCACATGGACACTGTCCAGGAATTGCTCATGGATTCGGATGCTTCTCAACCTAGCCACCTCCTCCTGTAGCTCTCCCACCTGCTGCCTGAGAGATTCCACCACCAGGCACCTTTCACATTGGATGGTCCCCCCAGCCTGGATATCAGTAAGTGGAAATTGCAAGTTACAGTCTCTGCAAAACCACACCAAGATCTGGGTAGAAGCATCCATGCTCAGGCGCTCTGTCTGGCTACAGGCGCAGGTGGAGGAGACAGAAGCAGTGCTGGCACAGGTGTTGCGGGTCTTCCTAACCATCGTAAGCCTCCCTCTGTCAAACTCCCGTCTGCAGCCCCCTGTCCGCCCAAAAGGGTGCTGTATTGCTCCTCCTTCACCTGGAGAACTCCCTTGCGAAACTCCCTGTTAGCAGCCCCTGTTCGCAAACGCCCTCAACCTCAAGGACACGTACTTCCACATCTCTGTAATTCCTGCCTACGGATGATTCCTCAGGTTCGTGATGAACTACAACCATTACCAATTCACGGTCCTCCCCTTTGGCCTGTCAACGGCCTCCCAAGTGTTCACCAAGTGCATGTTGGTCGTGGCTGCCTTCCTACGCTGGATGCAGGTGTAGGTAAATCTGTACCTCGATGACTCGCTGAGGGAACTGGGATTGTTTAGTCTCCAGAAGAGAAGAATGAGGGGGGATTTGATAGCAGCCTTCAACTACCTGAAGGGGGGTTCCAAAGAGGATGGAACTCGGCTGTTCTCAATGGTGGCAGATGACAGAACAAGGAGCAATGGTCTCAAGTTGCAGTGGGGGAGGTCTAGGTTGGATATTAGGAAACACTGTTTCACTAGGAGGGTGGTGAAGCACTGGAATGCGTTACCTAGGTTGGTGGTGGAGTCTCCTTCCTTGGAGGTTTTTAAGGCCCGGCTTGACAAAGCCCTGGCTGGGATGATTTAGTTGGTCCTGCTTTGAGCAGGGGGTTGGACTAGATGACCTCCTGAGGTCCCTTCCAACCCTGATATTCTATGATTCTATGAAAGGTCAGCTTCATAGGGTCCACCTTCGACAGGTTGGGTCTCCTACTCAATGAGCACAAATCAATCCTATCCCCAACACAGAGGATAGAGTTTATCAGAGCAGTCCCCTGGTTCCGGACCTGATCACCCAAGAGTGTGGTTGGCTTCATCATCCTGACATCAAGTCTCTTCACCTCACCACTTGGAAGCTTCATGGCTAAACCTAATGGAGCTCATGGGCTCGGAGTCTGTTCGGGAGGTCCTACTTGGTAGCAGGA